TCCGTTCCACAGGCCTCCACCCCATAGGCTTCCGTTCCACAGGCCTCCACCCCATAGGCCTCCGTTCCACAGGCCTCCACCCCATAGGCCTCCGTTCCACAGGCCTCCACCCCATAGGCCTCCGTTCCATAAGCCTGCACCCCATAGGCCACCGTTCCACAGGCCTCCACCCCATAGGCCTCCACCCCATAGGCCTCCGTTCCACAGGCCTCCACCCCATAGGCCTCCGTTCCACAGGCCTCCACCCCATAGGCCTCCACCCCATAGGCCTCCACCCCATAGGCCCCCACTCTATGTGCCTAGTGCCCATTTCTCCCCCATGAATGATTGGCTGTGTGTTCTATTTCAGGTTGATCTCTCGGATGTCTCTCGTATTCACATAACGGAACTTTGTGTCCTCCTGGTCTCAGTCGTGGCCCTTCGCCTGCAGGCGCTCCCTGACACGTGAGTCTCTCCAGAATACGTTGTGGTGACACTCTACACATGGCAGTGCTGATAATGTCTGTGTTGTGTGTTACAGGTTGTCACCAGCAGGGGGCGCCCTCCCTCGTCTTCTGACATGCAGCGTCCCGTCTCTTGTGGTGAGGCCGATCACATACAATGAATGGGCAAATTGCTTGGGTGGTTGGGCTCTGGTGGAAGCTGCCATGTCTGACTTTTATGTAGTCTCAGAAGTAGTATACAGCGTGTATCGCAGCCTAGTCACACAGGTTTGTATCTGATTGCAGCTTATTCTATTCCTAGGCTGCAGCTACTGTCCTGGCAGCTTCTCTGCATGACTGTGGTGAGTCCGAGCTCGTGTCACATGATGTCCTGCTGACTGCCATGAGAGTGTGCCTCTCCGAGACGCCACCGGTAAGCCGTGTCTTCTATCACTGGTGGGTTGTAGCTCCTCCTCTCGTGGGCCCTACCCAGTAAAAAGGGATTTGGGGTCCACCTATAGGCCGCCATTATTTCCAAGGGCTTCAGCAATTCTTGTGTCATGTGCGTGACTTTCCTCTGACTTCAGGAGTCACATGATGCTTCCCGGGACCAGCCAGGCGACTGGCATTTTCAGATGGACAATAATTGCAGCTTTAGAGTTGTCACCCCCATCAGGGAGGAATGAGGGGTCAGTGGGGGCAATGCTCCTTACATTGGGGGTCAGTG